TATCCCCTGTGTGCCTTGTCGACTCAGTTGTATGCTATACGAAGTTATTACGTATGTGTATATGAAACGCAATATCGATATATACAACAAAGTATATGCTTATCGCAAGGAAGAAAGAGACCGAAACTCTTCTATGTATGCAACCATAGCGAGACATTTGACCTTGTGGTTGATGCGCGAGATATCACACGGTGTCGCTGGTCGCATATGTGCGCGCGTGTATGCGTGTGTTCGATTTACTTCCTATATAGTAGTATGCTTATATACTCTCTAAAAGTGAATCAGTGAAATCATCACTAATTATCAGTGTACATTATTTTCCAGTGGCATACTTAGAACTGTGATAAATAGTGACTATTTCAATGTCGCTTCAGTGATAATACATTGATTTAAACAGTAAATATTATTGAAAGACAGTGAATTTGATTGTTTGACAGTGAAATTCACTGTCTTTCAGTGATATTGACTGTTTAAATTAGTGTATTATCACTGAAGCGACATTGAAATGGTCACTGTTTATCACAGTTTTAACAATAAGTATGTTACTGGAAAATGATATACATACTGACAATCAGTGATGATTCCACTGATTCACTTTTAGAGAGTATATTGGTATTCTTACTAGAGGTGGAAAAAATAATCGCTAAGATGGAGCATACGATATTATAAGACCACTAACTGTACAGTTTGAGTACATTTTATTGTAACGCGCAATGAGCACTGTGAAATCCGTATCGCACGTTACCAGCAGCGTCGATACAGTCGAGGAACTTCGCGAAGCCGGCATTATTATAAATTGAATCGCATATCGAGAAAACGAATCAGTCGATTCGCGCCAGTTTTGCATGTTTTTTTACATACATTGCAACTTGAGTGTCAATGGCTGGAAAGAGAGGCGACGACTCGTCGAGGAGTTACACGCTCCGGCCAGATGAAGCTTTAACTTTCCACGAAGACGCGTCGTAATTCAAGGATACGACGATCTCTAGCAGGCCGATATTGTCAAGATGCGCCCGTACTCGCGGTTCAACAGAGGCCACCACTACATACTCACCGTCATCGATGCGTTGAGCAAGCACGCGTGGACCGTACCGCTCAGGGGCAAGGACGGGAGCGAGACGGCTGCCGCTCTCGCCGCGATGATTCACGAGAGCGGAAGATGTTCGAGAAATCTGCAAACGGGTATCGGGAAAGGAGTTTTACAACGTCGATGCGCAGAAACGCAACGAGAATCATTGGTGCGTCGTAAGCGCCATAGAATCATAAATGCGTCACGCATACACGATTCCGAGAGCGAAGATTCGAGAGAAACGTCGGAGATGCTTCTACATGCACACATACAAAAGAGACCCTTGTCCACGGAATTGTCTACCACGTCAACATCTTACTCGTGTACTTTTCCTTACCTCGTTGTCGCCAACGCTACGTGGCCGATCTTACATATCGGTCACGTGAACCAATAAAATTTTGGAAAGGGTGATTAAGGGTGGAGGGTCGCTGTCGCTGGGCAAGCGACGACTCAGGGCATTCGTGTCGTAGCCGAGCTAACGAGAACATATCGCAGTAAACGTACGGAAGCATCTCTGACGCGAATCTCAAATCGACGCGAGGACTCAGGGCGTTCGTTGCGTTCGCTCCCAGGCGTTGTCCGAACACGACTCAGGGCAGTTCGTCTGCCCGCTGTCGTGATACAGTTATTTTATATACGATACAAGATTTAATTATAAGTGTCGTGATATACGATTCAAGATTTAATTATAATAAACTTGTTTACGCGAAAACACGCGTGTGGATATTAATTTATCCCACCGATCCACAATCCAATCATTATTCCACGTATTCGATGATGGTGGCATATCGATGTGGAATAATGATTCACGTTGCGTTTCTGCGCATCGACGTGGTAAAACTCCTTCCCCGATATCCGTTTGCAGATTGCTCGGACATCTTCCGACTATCGAGTCGAGCGGTTCAATCGCACGCTTAAGAACGACATGTGGAAGATGTTTACGCTCATCGGCGCGTACAAGTGGGACGCTCTGCCGAGTATCGTATCGGATTACAACGCGCGCAAGCATCGCACCATCGGCGTGCGCCCCGCCGCCGTGACTCCCGCGATCGCCGAGAGACTCTTGAAAAAAAACGGTGTACAGCGCGATAAAGATCGCAGGTCCGGCGATATTCAAAGTGGGCGATTCGATACGCGTGAGCAAGTACAAGACGATTTTCGAGAAGGGTTACACGCCGAATTGGACCACCCAGGTGTTCAAAATCGCGAAAGTACAGCGTATCAATCCCGTGACCTATCTGTTCGAGGAAAATCTACTATCGCGGAAAATCCTGGCTCAGAACACAAGGTGATATTTTTCGCAATGAATTTCTTTACAGATTCGTCGATAATGATTAGACGTCGCAGGGGAGAGGGGATTTATTAGATGCAAGTTAGCATCAAGTTCTTATTAAATTGATTAGCAATTGTGTATGAAACACTTATACGGTTGCTATAGAAATATATCATTAATTTTATTTTAGGTGGCGTTGTTAAGTTCAGATCAAGTCACATCAATTTTTTTAAACGGAATTATATATTTTTTTACGTAATATGCGATTCCTCTAATTATTCTGTATACATATAAAAGTATTAAAGTAAAGTTATCGAAAAATCGATATTTTACGAGATATTTTTTATACTTTATCATGCCATATTTCGATATATAATATAAAATATCTCGTAAATTATTGATTTCTTGATAATGGTACTTAATATTTTTAGGCACAGAATAATGAGATGAATCGATTGGTGTAAAAAAACATAAAGTTGCTTTGAAAATTTGTAAGAAATACATAAACTTACTAATTTCAAAGTCGAGAGGCAATCTAAAGATATTAATCGATTTCGATGAAGATTTACCCAGACTATATTGAGGTCCGTAGCTAACTTTAGGGGGGGGGGGATTACTAATCAATTTTCAAAAAAAATTTATCTTCGGCCCACCCTAATATACATAGACCTGCTCAATATCATATGCCTCATAAATTGTCTTTATACGCGTCTTTTTAATCTGAAAGGATAAAAGCGCGATAGTAGTAGGTATCAGTGAAGACATCAGGCCGACGCTTACTGCAATCAGGAGCACCCCAGGAAACAATACCGGCCAGTTGACCGTTGCAGATGAGCGGGCCACCGCTGTCATCCTGGAAACGCATAGAGACGTTTTCATTAACGCGTCTGTTTGATTTAACTACTAAATTTCTTTAATAATTAGTAAATCAATCAGTTAATTAAAATAGGAAAACTATTCCCCTTAAATCTAATAATGGACATTATTCACTCTGCAACCGGCAATTCCATAGCGATTGATTGTGCACAAGTGGCCTTTGGTCAAAGGCGTATCGTAGTGACGTCGGCATTGGCTCTGCGTGATCACGACCTGCTCCAACTTCAGAAGAGGCGTGAGCGGTCCGAACGGTCCGTTACTCCATCCAGATAAGATACATCTCTGTCCGCGACTAGGTTTAACGGTGGTCAAGCCGATTGGACTTTGGTATGCGTTGAATTGAATCGACTTTTTGAGCTGAAATAATCGAAACAGAGATTACTAGAATAAATGAAATAGTTAAATAAATGTCTTTTAGAGTTCTAACGCAGTTCTTGTGGTGTAAATGTTCCTTTATTATAAATGCAGCATACGTTTCGATCCTTGGTTTGAATCCTCTCCAGTACAAGTACATATATTAACAATGTAAAGGTACAACGCCGCAAGCTTCGATATCCTGTAGTATATTTATTCCTTCATTCATGGTAATGTAATCAGAAAGACTGATGTGTCAATTTAATGATGTAGATTCTGAGTTTGTAAAAGTTAGACAGTAAAAAAAGAAGAAAGAGTGAATATTAAACAAAAAACAATGTGGAAAGTCTCCAAGTTAACAAATAAATATTTTTATTCGTTAATATGGAGATTTTACTATCTGACTTTTACAAACTCAGAAGCTCCATTATTAAATTGACATTGTCTTTCTGATTACATTACCATGAACGAAGGAGCAAATAGGATATTGCGGCGTTGAAGCGTACCTTTACATTATTAATACAGGGTGTCCCAGGGTGAAGAAAATTCTTCATTAATATTTTAAAGCGTGAAAGAGAATGAAATTTTAAACTAAAAGTTCCTTTATCAATTTTGGCTCAGAACATTATTTACAAAGTTATTAACGAATAAAGTTATTCAATCAGATCGCGCTTAGTCGGAGTTAGGACGAAGGAACATACCATGCCGTGCGGCTCTTCGCGCTTACTTCTCTCGATTAAAATTTTATTCTAATTTTTCATATTAATAAATAAGTAAAAGTAATAAGTTCTTGGGCGTTAACTTTTCCTTATTGAAATAAGTAAATAACAAATAAGAATAAAAACAATCAGAAATTAAATAAATTTCAAACGTAATTTTTTCTTACTTATTTATTAGTGTGTTTATTTATTTATTTATTTATTTATCTACTTTATTTATTGATTTATTCGTTTGCTTATTTATTAATATGAAAAATTAGAATGAAATTTTAATCCAGAGAAGTAAGCGCGAAGAGCCGTACGGTATGCTATGCTCCTTCATACTTCGGCTAAGCGCAATCTAATTGATTAACTTTATTCGTTAATAACTCTGTAAATAATGGTCTGACAAGGGACCCACACAAGGTGCACACAATAGTATAGAGAAAATTATCCAAGCATCTTGACTCCCTCTGGATCACTTTCCACTCAAAAACTTGACCGGAAATAAAATAAATATAAATAATAAAATAATAAAATAAAGAGTAATTGCAAAAAGATCTGTTTTTCGTTTATTTTAAAAGACCCATTAATCTTAGAGAAATTTTAAGATGAGCATAGGCATGGTTCCGGAGATATGAAGGGGTAAAAGTGATGGTTAATTCTCATCATTTTCCTGGAAATCATCACTTTCACTCCCTTGTATCTCCGGAACCGTACCTATGCTCATCTTTAAATTTTACTGGGTTTAATGTTTCATCTAATAGTTATACTATTTGCCATAAAAAAGTTCGAAATTTGAGATCCAAAATGTGGGCGAAATTTGCTATCACTCTTTTATTTATTTTTATTATTTTATTATTTATATTTATTTGATTTCCGGTCTAGTTTTTGGGTGGAAATTGATCCAAAGGGAGTCAAGTAGAGTTGAATAATTTTCTCTATGCTGTACCTGTTGTGCACCTTGTGTGGGTCCCTTGTGAGCCAAAATTGATAAAGAAACTTTTAGTTCAAAATTTCATTTTCTTTCACGCTTTGAAATATAAATTAAGAGTTTTGGGACACCCTGTATATTTCTACTGAAAAGGACTCAAACCAGAGGTCGAAACATCTGCTGCATTTATGATAAAGGAACATTTACGCTGCAAGAACTGCGTCGGTTATAAAAGACATTTATTTAACTATTCGATTTATTATTTCAGAACTTAATATTTTCGCTTTACTAGAATAAATGATTTAAGCAAAAAAAGTAAAATAGAGGAACAAGAAGAAAGACATTAAGAGAAATTAAGACGAAATTATAAATTGGTGGTTTCGAAATTGCAGAGGTAAATCACAGTGACGAACTGTACCACGATACGTCGACATACCGTGATCACTGCAATGTCATTCCTCAAATCTGTCACCTGCAGGCCCGCGTATCCTGGATGCACACGAATGTTCTCTACCTCGTGTCTCTCGCCTTTATTTGGTCTACTAATGGTGTCAGTCGCAACAGTAAAATTGCCGTAGGGTAGATAATATATGATGCTGTCCACGCAGCGGGCAGCAGTTAGGATCTTGGTCGGGGCGATGATGGAGCCGCTGCAAATGTGACGGTTCGCCAACCTCAGGGAAACGTGATGCGGGAATTCACCTGGTGCGGCAAACTGACCAACAACTGCCGCAACGAGTTTTTCAGCGAATGTCTCTGTAAAGCATGAATACACATTTCTTGCAGAATGCATATAGTTTAAAAAAAACTGCTATTTTCAAATTGCTGGAAAAAACCAGAAAAATTTCGGTTTTTTTGCGAAAAATTGCTATATAAACAATATCCTACCTAATTTTTTATCATATTAAATATGAATTGGGATTCAAAAAGTAATGTAAGCGATTTATTTTAATTTGCTCTTTAAAAACTTTAAAATGTGTAAATTTTTTATTTAAATTAGATATAAGTTTATAACTCTTATAAGTTATAACTCTCATATTTTATAGCATTATTAAAATAAGACACTTCGTATAAACGCTAGAATTAATAATGAGTTAATTTTTATGTTTACATTTGAACTCTCCTTGAGGTGAGGATTATTTACTATTAAATAAACTGTTTAGGAAACGCAATCTTAATAACTAGTGTAAAGATTAATTTAAATTGATATTTATATTAAGTATTTTTAAAGATTTTTGATTATTAATAATTGTCAAGAGCACGTTTTATTTGAAAAATACATTAACTCTGTTTTTTTATTTATTCTTATATAATTTGCTTTTTATTTCTTTAGTATTTAACATTATTAGCAATAAATTTATGCTTGTTATAAAATTTTTAAATTTTGAAAAGTGTATCAAAGTGTTGCAAATGTAAAATGTGATAGATTTTATGAATATGTATGTGAAATTTTCCATTAAATTTTTCTACCTCTTGAAAAAAAAAAACCGAAAAAATCCGCGGAAAAATTGAAAAAATTGGCTTTCTTCCAGCCTTTAAAACTATAAGAATGTACGATCAGTAAACACGATTAAATAAGCCTGTCTGACGAGAGAAAATGATCATCGAGAACAAAAATAGTGATGAAATAAATAAGAGAGTGTTTTGTCACTGTACAATATAATTTTATAATACGTACGCTGCGTTAGAACGCCAACTACCAAGAGAATTAGCGGTAGCATGATAACGATGATTAACTCACATCAGATCAGAAATGAAACTATAGGAGACAGTGCAATAATTTCTACTTTCTTTTTATAATGAATTCGTATCTGTAATTTGACTTTTTGTCTAACAGCTAGTAACTTACGATGAATGCGGCAACGTTCGCACTCTGAGCTCCGTTATTCACTGTTAGTAGGTACTGAAAATTTTTCATTTACGTAATATAGATACTATGACTGCGTACGAGGAGCGTGCTATCAGCACTATTGCATTATTTCGTCCTTGTTTTACGGCTAATTAACGATAAAGATAAAATGACACAATAGCGCTGGTAGCGCGTTTTCCAAACAGCTTATATAGATCCTTAGTACTCAACGAACGCAGCTCTGCGTTTTGATGCAAATAGTGACAAATCAAAGACTTCTAAGAAATAGAAAGCTATTTTTTTTTTAATTAACTAGTTATTCGCATGGAGCTTATAAGCTGGGTTCAAAGAGTGCGCCATCAACGCTATTGCATCAAATTGTTTTACGTCAAATTTAAGCATTTAAGATAGAATGACTCACTAGTGCTGATAGCACACTCCGCGAACGTAGCCAAAGTCTATGATTATTCTTTATAAAGTGAAAAAAGTAATTAGTTACTTTAATTATTTTAATTAGTTATTAGAAACTGTTACTAACTTTCGGTTGTCATACTTCACAAAATGACCTTTTTACATTGGAAAATAGTTTTTTTTTTTTCAAAACTTACTTTCTTTTAAGAATTTTTTTTCATTGTAATGCTACTTTAATTTTAAATTCTATACAATAAGAATACATTCTACATTGTTTGATTTAAGAATTTTTGTGATTCAATTAAACTGTTAATTTTTAAACGGCAGTCTTTTACAATAATTGATTTTGACAAATTAATCCCCAAATGATGATCGAAAAAATGGTGTGACAAGCGAAGGTTAAAAAGTAACAATTCGTTATTTTCACGTTACTTTTTTAATGTTTAGGTGGTTTTATCACTTAACGCTAACTCGATAGTGTGACGTTGTCACATAAATGTCACAATTGCACTTGTTCAATCTATGCGAAATGTTTTTATTGAATTATTAGTTTTAAGGAGGGACTAACTTTTGACTGAGACTTGCGCGATAAAACCACCTTAAAATAAGATCAGTCTAAATGCCTTTTTGATATAAGTTAGAGTTTCATGTTTAATATTTTAGAATAAATTTATATACATACACAATTCTAACAAACCACGCGCCAATTAAATTTTCATCTTGAAACGCAATTCGACTGATATTTTTTACAATAAAATTTTTCACAGCATTTTAAGATGTTTATTAACATAAATATCGTTAAATTACTTATAAATTTAATTTGTAATATTAATTTATGGTTTTTTTAAGACATCATAAACTAATTAGAACCGTATTAATATTTTAAGGTATTATTTAAAACACTTTTGAAACAAGAATAAATTATGAATACTAGCTGATTGAATTTAAGATTGAATATACCAAAATTACGTCATAAATATATTTAAAACTTAGAAAACGAAATTATAATGAGATCAAAATGACATCAAATCGAAATCATTTTAGGAAAAATCATAATGATGTCATTCAATACACTTTTAATGATGGTATTGTGATAAATTCTTGATATGAAAATTTTACAATGATTTTTTTCTAAAAAAGTACAGGTATGTACATTAAATAGAATAAAGGCTAATATTTTTGAAATAATATAAACTTTATATATATATTATTTATATATATAAAATAATAATAATAAATTTGATGTACATTAAGCAATTTATATGAAATATTTCAGCCTTCAAAGATTGTCCCCAGTTAAAACGGAATCATATTCCTATAAAAACTACGGAAAATGATTATTTTTGCTCTTGTGCATTTTTTTTTGCTAAACGATTAGTATTATTTGCAATGCATGAAGTTAATAAGATATTACTACTACAGTTATTGTCTACTATTCTGTCAATATGTATGTTGAAAAAGTTATTGAACAGAACTGATAAGTATTTATATATTTCGAGAAAATATAGAAATCTAGTAACGACATACATTATCATTAAAATATATTGAGCGTAAAATGGTAAGAAACAGTTGACCTTTGTTTATTGCAAGGAATAATTGCCTCTTTATCTACTCTACTAAAACATTTTATAAAACTTTGTAAGGCATAATAATATATTTTATACAGTAGAACTTACTAGTTTGTCATTTATAAAAGTTACTTGTTACGATACCTTCGAGTATCCTGACGATGGAGCTCTGTTGGAAGTTTTTGTTGGAGTTCTACGGCTACATAGAATGTACGTGAAAGTTGAAATTAGTATCAACAAATCAAATTTTTATAATTATTATTTCTATCATTTATTTTAACAATCACATAAACAGTGCCGCAATAACATTAGAAACTTTATTTTTTACGTTATTTAGAATATTCCTTTATATTCTGCATGTATATATTATACTTCGCTTTTATGTCTTTATGCTTTTGCAAAATAAAATATCATCATTTCCTCTTTGTAATGTGCTTTAACATCAATCTGCTGCAATGTTAATGAAATTTAAATATTACAAAAATATATAAATTTCATCGCTTTTTATTTTAAACTCCTGTCCAACCTGTCACGTATTATCTATTGCTAAAAAATTGTATATTACTCCGCAGTTTCTTATCATTTCGTTATTTGATTACGCTAACATTGAGTATTGAGTCCCTTGTTTTAGTCAACGTTTTCTTCGTAGAATCCGACTAATACAAAACTCTTCGTTTCTCCTTCGGTATATTAGAAAATATGATAATATTTCTCTTTTCTTTTATTATTCCGAATGGCTTAATGTTAGCGTTTTGTAACATATCTATGTTGTTTAGTCTACAATATCCTACATTTTAATACTTTTTATGTATTACTCTCCGTGAGCTTATCCGTTTAAATGCAGACTCTCATTCAAATCTGTTTCCAGATACTTGTCATCAGCATCTACTGTCGTGCCCGGCTCATCGCACAACAAAATTTCAGGGAGTCTTTTCTTGTACATACTGCAGTAAAATTTCTTAATGCTCTCTCACCTGCTATTCACTCGCTGCCTCAGTTTTCGTTCATAAATAATTCATTACCTTGCATTATGATTAGGCTACTTGCTCTGTGCTCAAATTATTTTTACTTAATTGTAAAAAGGCTAAACAACATTTCCAATTTTTTTCAAATGATTCACCTTGCAATATTTAAGTAATCTCTAAATTGTCTGGCATCAACTGCTTATCATTGGAAAATTTTAATATTACGTAATATATCTTTTCATTGTGTATCTTTCATTCTCGTTAATTACTGTACTGCAGCGCATACAAGCTTTGTGTGTAGTTTCTGTTAATTCTTGGCTATGGCTTTTCATTATATGTATATTTTATATCTTTTTATCATCATAAATCATCATAAATAATCATTTTATTGCATTTCTAATTATTGTGCATTTTTCTGTAAAACTTTGAGTACGGCTTCAAATCAGCTCCTTACCTGTTGCTCCGCCTAACTTATAATATTTTTCAATTTTTTTTATTTTGATAATTTTTATGATACACATTAATTTATTCCTTTCTTTTAATGTTGGGTTAGAACGATCATTATAAGGTGCCAACTCTAGTATAGTATAATTATTATATATATTACATTATGTTATACTATAGATATACATATATATTATATCTATAGTATTATATTATTACTATGATGTAATGGCACATTATATACATATACAATAATATTTTTAATAATAATAAATAATTCAGTTGTAATAAGTTAGTAATAATATATAAATAATAAATAATTTTAAAAATATTTTAACAATTCACAGTTTATGTTCTTTTTTATATTATTTATAATACATCATACAAATTTTTAACATTTAAATTATATAACAGTAATTCTATGTATTTATTGATATACGTATGATTGACTGTTCGTTAATGGCTTATAAAAATAATTAATATTTGAATATTCAGTTATTTATTAATTATTTGGGACAATTTAGACATTTTGATTGTTATTTACATTTTCATAAATAATACAATATACTTAATTAATTAATTGTATTGTCGAGTTCAAAAACTGACATACTTAAAACTATATCAACACAAAATTTTATCAGTAAAATTATAAAATATGAATAATTTTTTTAGTCAAAGTCGTTTTATTCGGCTTGTTGCTGTTTCTCCCTATGCTAAATGGAGTTGATCCTAAGTGCAATTATTCTGGAAATTTAAAAGCTGGAGAAAAATGTTATGTACATAATCCCGAGTTTCCTAATTACTACAAAGGTGAAAATCACTATGTTTGGAAATTAGCAAGTGACAACGTTATTAAAATAAATTGTTCTCTTCAAACAGTAAGTTTATTATATAAAAATATTTTGTTCAAAATTTATATATCTTAATTCAATTTTAAGAATTAATGTGATATGATTTTACTGAAGCGTAGAATTTCTATTAATTATTATACTCCAGTAAGAGAATATCTACAGTCTGCATATAGGAGCAACATAGCTGAGAAAGTGAGAAGAACATTAAGTGAACCATTGGCAAGTTGTACAAGTAATATAGTGCTATGAAAAGGGGGAATTTTTTAAGCGTTCTGAGGAACAGACGAATATTTATCTGATCTGTGGATATTTTCTTCCTGGACGGAATATAAAATTGTTAGAAAAGAATAAAAAGGATAAATAATTTAATAAATTATTTAACAGGGTAATGATTGTAATCAAGACAGACTTTCCGTTAAATTTTCTGAAGATAATAGATTGTATTATTGTGGATTTGACACATTCGTTTATGAAGGAAAAAATCCAATTATAAGATTGGACTCGCTAATTGAATCTCAAGGCGGCCGATTTATATGCGAAGTTCAAGCTTTAAAAGATAATTTAAATAAATGCCAATGTGGTTGGAAAAAAGTAGTAAGTTTAAATTAATTTTTGTGAAATGCTACTTATTATTATTTATGAAAAGTTTGTTGCTTATCGTTTTTTTTAATTTGGCTTTAATAAATTATGCAATAATTTAATAAGAATATTAATTTTAGTTACATGTTAAAAATAAAGTATCATTATTTGCAATGTTTGCTTAGACCAGGATAGTAGGTGGTAAGGAAACTGAGATCAATGAATATCCCATGATGGGTGGACTCTTTGATCTTAAAAACCCACAACTTATATATTGCGGTGCTACCATAATATCCAACATACATATTATGACGGCAGCTCATTGCATAGTGAACAAAGACCCTAGTGAATTTGCTGTAATTTTTGGTGAACACGATATAAGCACAGGTAATTGTTAAAATATACATTTAAATAATATTTATGTTAAAAAAATGTTCAAAAAAATTGTATTTACAAATTCTAATAATATCAGATTAAAATGCACATTTACTTTTTGTATGTAATACAGATTTATTTAAATTAGTTATAATTTAATAAGATTTAATGAAATAAACCTTTTGTAAATTAGATGGACAATATATCAGTATATGTATAATAATAGAAAATGACTTTTCAGAAAAATACTAATTTTATTTTTCAATTTTTTATTCGATAATAATTGTAATACCTTGTTATTCACAAAATGAACACCTGTTCTATTAAATTGTTATAAAAATATATTCACAAAATAAACACCTGTTCTATTAAATTATTATAAAAATATATCTTAATGATTTGATGCAATAAAATAAATTTAATTTAACCATTATTTGCATGTAAAAAGGATAAGTGATGAAATAAGTTTATTCTGTTTTTTAATATAAGATTTTGGATGTACAAATTTGACATTAGAATAAATTTATTCAATATACTTTGCGGATAGATAGCGAGACCAAATCAAGTCATGTGTTTTACATAATCGGATGCGTGATTCCTCCTGACTATAATTCAAATCCTGGCAATAATTCAAATTTGATAATTAACAATGATGTAGCTGTTTGTGAAGTTCATGGTTACATCGAATATAGTGCTGAGGTTGGTTCGGTTTGCTTACCATTTCAACATAAAAATGACTCGTTCGATGATAGTATCGTCACAGCGTTGGGTTAGTATTTTCTCAGTTTTTTCGTAGTGATTGATACAATTATCTATTCTAATTTCATTAAATTATTAGGATGGGGTTTAACGGAATATGCCGGCCGTGAATCGAAAACGCTACAAAAAGTGGATTTAAATATAATATCTCTTCAAAAATGCAGATCATATTATTCTGATGTATCCGACCGTAACATGTGTACTTTTACTCCAGGAAAGGATACTTGTCAGGTGCAGAGATAATTTTTTATTGTAAATTTAAATATTATTGTTTAATGTGCAAGATGTATTATTCATAAACTATAATGTAAACATTATTTGCAAATCATAGATTCTTCTTTTCTCTTTATGTAGATGGACGGTGGTGGACCTCTTCTATGGCAGAATCCTACCACGAATAATATTTTTTTGATTGGAATTATATCTGCCAGTAGTAACTGTGTTTCAGATATGCCTTCTGTCGAGACTCGTGTAGGAGTTTTCTTAGATTGGATACTAATAGTAACACCTGGTAAGAATCAACAGAAAAGCGAGTCAAAAGTCAAAAGTATAAAAATTTTAATATTATAAAAAATGCGCAACACATTCATCGTTTTTTATTACAGGTCTAGGCTATTGTAGTGTTGAGTGATCTCTGCATTAAAAGGAAGAATCATTTTATTATTGTTTTATATAAGATTACGGACCACTTTGGCGCTTTATTTATGTTGCACTTTTGCAATAAAATAAAATATGTATGACATATTCTGGATTATATCCACAAATATGTATTATATATCTGTATAAAGAAATATGCCCACATAAGTATGTATCTGGTCGTATATATATATGTATTATATATATGTATATGTATTTAGATGCGCGTAAGCGTGTAATAATATGTTATATAATATATACATATAAAAATGTGTATTTCTGCATATATATGTAATATATGCGTATCAAGTTCAATAATATTTCTTCCAGAAACTTGAGCATATAACTTATTGTTTAATTATTTTTCGTCAATTTTGCTAATTGCAATTACAAAGGTTTGGATCATTTTGTCGCTCTTGATCTCTTTGTGATTAAAATTTCTCAGTTTGAGTTGTAAAAACGTATTTATAAAAACAAATAATCTATTTACTAATAGCACATTTTAATTGTATATGATACATATAAATTATTGAATTCTTTTTTAAAATAAAAACTCGATTAGTTTAATATAATTATTTTAATAAAAAAACGGATTTTTGAATTCAGGTTAAAAGTTATATCTTTTTATTAAAACTACATATAATTGTAATAATCCTTTTTAAATTTATGTACATAATCTGATTAAGTATTACATATGTATATATAGCATCCAAGCAAAGACAAATATATTTAGACCTCTAAATTAATTTTTACACGAAACTAAATGAAATTGTAATGATGACTTGTAGAATACACTTTATTCACTTTTATTTTATGGCTCGTCTTTTAAGTTTTAAGCATTATTTTATTAAAATTAATTTTTTAATGGTACATAGTACTGCGCCAGTATTCAGTACCCAAAATTGGTACTGGCCCAGTACTTTACCAATATTCAATTTCTACTTGGGATTTATTATAACACAAATGAGAAATCTCATAAAAGTTTTTGAAAACAATCTGTTACATCCACGCCCCAGAAATCTTTATTTCGAGGGAAAATGAAAGGACGGAGCACGGAAGGACGAAACCGAACACTTCTCGTAGGTTATCGCTCTGAATGGGCGTGCCACGAGTCGAGTTACTTATCTAGGCTCCGAACGTAAGTCAATGTTCCATATGGAACGCTATAATGCCGTGTGTGGAGCCGTACATATACTCGTCGAGCCTCTATTTAAGTCAAAGAACTTAATTCTTATGACCTGAGAGTAGATCGAACGCGATCTTTTAAATTTAAGAATGGATTGCGGGAATTGGTTCAGAAAAAATGTATATTCAAAATTAATAAACTTTTATATTAGATTTGATTACATATATAGTGATTATAACAGTATTTCGCAATATAAAACATACACGCAAAAAAATGAGTTAGCATTATCAACTAAATATCAGTGGCTAATTTGAATTTTGCTGTCGTTACTAAATAAAAGTTATCTATTAAAAATAAAATATATTGTTACTAGAGACACAATTTTATTAGCTAAAATAAAAGCATACTTTAACAGGAATAGCTAAAAAAGTGGCATACGGAAAAAATAATTTTGCTGAAAAATTTAAAAGTTTTGCTGGATATTCTTCAATAGAATTAGCTAAACGTCATTTGATTCTAGCAATAAATATTTTTTTGCTGTAGCGCCTTAATTTTAACAATTATTAATTTAGCTTTGGCAGTAATGATATTAGCTGTCCCTATTTTAAAAACACACATTAGCTGCCACGGTTATATTTGTGTTAGCCAGAATTATAATTAATAAGACAAGTTTAGAATATTTAAACAAAATAAAGTACAAAATGAGGAAGGAAGAAGAAAGGAATACGAGCCGTCTCCGAATGAAATTCGGACGATCCTGAATAATAAGAGGAAAGTATTACGAGTCGTCTCCGAAGAAACTCGGGCGACCCTGAATAATAGGATGAGGGGAAGTATTACGAATTATCTCCGAAAAAATTCATTGTTTGCTGTTACGCTTTAGTTATTAACCTTTTCGCTTAGTCTTTGCATCTAGACTTTATCGCCTCCAATCACGCACTTCTAATGTGTGGCGTTTCTTCGCGATGATATTTATGAGGGATCTGACGAAAAGCGCTTATTCCTTTCAAGTTTTATCCCGACAGTTTATTTTTTGCATATATTAATTACAGACTGATATTCCTCATAAATCGTCCTTGAGTGGCGACACAATCCAGGCCTCCGCGTAAGAAAAGAATTAATCGTGCAATCCATAGAACGTAACAGTCCATTATATTAAGTTCAACAAAATATGACGTTTTTCGAGCACAAGAATAAAAGTAATTGTTTCCTGTAATTTTTTTTTGGAGCACTGAATACAATTTCGTTTATTAAATTGCTCTAGCATGTTACAATTTTGAGCAATTTGTTGCAAACGGAATTGTATTTGCATACATCAAATAAAGTAAAGGCGAATATTTTTGAAATAACATGAACTTTATATATAATAATAATAATAAGAAGAAGAAGATGAAGAATAAGAATAATAATTTGATAAGACATTAAGCAATTTAAAAGAAATATTTCAGTTTTCAAAGACTGTTCCCAATTAAAACGGAATAATATTCCCAAAAACTACGGAAAATGATTATTTTTGCTCTTGGGCATATTTTTTTCTAAACAGTCAGTTTTATTTGTAACTCATAAGGTAAAATATTGTAGAATAGAGTGTATAGAAACCCAGTAACGACATACATTATTGATAACTGGGACCAAAATAACAAGAAACAATTGACTTTTGGTTTATCGCAAGGAATAATTCTCTTTATCTACTCTATTAAAACATTTTGTAAGACTTAATTGCAAACACAACATATTTTATACAGTAGAAGTTACTAGTTTTGTCATTTATGAAAGAGACTTGTACATTAGAATATCCTGACGATGGAGCTATATTGGAAGTTTTTGAAGTTCTACTGCTACATAGAATGTACGTAAAAGTTAGAATTAATATTAACAAACCAAATTTCTACGATTATCATTTCTATCATTTATTTTAACAATTACATATGTAAATAGTGACGCAATAACAGCAGGAGGTTTATTTTTTACGTTATTTAGAATATTCTTTTATATTCTGTACATTGTACGCATATATACTTTGCTTTTATGCTTTTGCAAAATAAAATATTATTTTCTCTTCATAATGTGCTTAATCTACTGCAATGTTAAATTTAAATATTGTACAAATTAAATTTTACCGTTACTTTTTATTTTAAACTCCTATATCTAACCAGAGAAATCTTTCCGTCCGCCTGAAAAAAATCAATATAGTTTTTACTCTCCCAAAATCGGCAAATTCATCTGCTCTCTAAAAGTGAAACAGTGGAATCATCATTGTCAGTGTATGTCATTTTTCAATGATATACTTAGAACTGTGATGAACAGTGACTATTTCAATGTCGCTCCAGTGATAATATACTGATTTAAATAATGAATATTATTGTCAAACAGTCAAATTCACTGAAAGATAGTGAATTTGACTGTTTGACAGTAAAATTCATTGTTTTTCAGAGATATTCACTGTTTGAATCAGTATATTATCACTGAAAGCGACATTGAAATAGTCACTGTTTATTACAGTTCTAAGTATGCCACTGGAAAATAATATACACTGAATACAATTAGTGATGATTTCACTGATTCACTTTTAGAGAGTAATATTTCCCTTCTATACCCATTGTATTCACCAACGGATAATATTCATGAATATCTATATATTTACTTGAAATATCAACTTTTTTTTTCTTCAATTATCGCCGAAAATCGTTTACCCGAGCTCTCATGTAACCATGAACGGATACATTAACACGAATTTGTATCATTGCCAAAATGTCGTTTGCGCGCATTTCAAGGCAGTTAACTGCGTTCTTTTACACCTGCATGCGACTCAAGATGGTGGTCCCGAAAGTTTCGGTCGATACGCCGACTACCTCATGAATATATTCACAAGCTGGGCACAAGAATACGAGACAAAGATGTTAACTGGTGATTCGGGAAACGCTTTCCTCCTTTAAAGATCGTCTTGTTAACGCGACGGCGCGCAACGCCGCAATGCCCATCGAAATCCCTTACGGGGCTTCGACTTTAACATCTTCAGTAACCGACAATAAAAGAAGTGTGCATGTGCATCCACGCGTATATCTTGTGGGACTGCGCTTTTAGTTTTATGCAGAAAAAAAATTAGTCCCTGGCAACCAGCATTGTGGCGGACGATAAGAAGATATTATCTTCGCAGTAAATCCCTTTATTTGGAACAATTTCTAAATGACGTGTCGTATTTGCTTCAAAGTATAAATAAAGAAAATTATATGACTATTTAAATTTTTAATTGCATAACGCTCTTGAATTGTTTATTAAATTTAAAAAATTTCTAATACGTACGCTGTGTGAGTATATTATTATTTGTAAAGATAAAAATAAACGAAAGAGCAGTCGTATGTACAGAATTTTTACAAAATTCAAGGGTAATAGATGCTGTGAGCGATTCCTTTAACTGCAAGAAATTTGAATATCCTCCATTTCCCTTTTTCTATTGTCGCATAACTTCCATTAAAAAGGGGGAAAACAAAAAAGATCGTCGGCTGAATTACAACCGTGGACGACAGTCCAAGCGGAATTTCAACGCATTATTTTGCATCGCAAATGCGACCGCCGTCGGAATTTTCGCAAATTTGGCAACGCGACGTAGCGCACAAACTATATATAGGCGCGAACATGAATGCAGTCGTCGGCGTGACGTAAACAACCGACAAGAGCACTGATTTTTAATTGGCCCATTATCGTAAACGATCGATAGGTGTCAATTAACCACAATTCTGTCAATCATATTATTACTCCCCGCTGCTCGTTCGCGTTTTATTAAAGCGAGAGAGGGAGAGAGTGGGAGAGAAATACTCTCCCGGCGGTCCAACCTCGGGGCTTGATTTATTTTCATCGCGAATGCCCAACTGCAGCATCGTTTGCTTCCGGCACTATCTTGATTTGAAATCAACTCGCCTCTCTTTTTCTCTCTCATCGTCCTCAACATTTTTTCCGTACCGAAAAGCCATTCCTCACGTCCGCGACGAGTTTCCGCCGATTATCAAAATTGATCCCAAACCTCCGAACATGAGGAAGTGTTGAATATTAAACAT